GTATTGAGCTGGTCCCTGAGTGAATCATGATTGATTGGTAACTGGTAACACAGTAGCTTAGCAGCTAGGCCTCCAGTAGCGTCTCCCCTCCCTGCCCCAAGACAGAGACAGTCAGTCCCACAATCACTCATGGCATGAATTTTGTCTGCAGCTAGGGGTGCAGGGCCCCAGAACCCCTGCACTGATCTCCCCGACAGCTAGCAGGCATCATGGCCACAGCAGGGGCCACCATCCCTGCAACTGTCACCCCGCTGCGCCTTAACACATGCAGTGTCACCCATGACACAAGTTTTGCTTGTCCACAGCTTGAGAGGCAGTTTTCCCCAAACCCCTGCACCAATCTTTTTGAAACTTGGCAGGCTTTGTGGCCTCAGCAAGAGCTACCACCCCTACAGTTTTGACCCCCCTGTGTTGTAACACATAGATGTGACAGGAGTTTTGCTTTCAAGAATTTGGGGTGCAGTTCCCCCCACACCCCTGCACCGATCTTCTTGAAACTTGGCAGGCTTCATGCTGTCTGTGGATTCTACCATCCCTGAAAATCCAAATAGGACAAAAAAAACCAACGTTATAGATATTTTATTGTTTTCCAATTATACCCTATGGCCGGATCTCTGAGGCAGCTCTGAGGTGGCTTTGAAGTGCTTCAGGAGCTCCAAACCGCTTTGGGAAGCCTAACGAGGCCAGCGCTTTGACCTGGACATGCTGCTTCAGACCCCAAAGCATCTGAAGCTTCTCTGGATCCGAAACTCTGTCCAAAGCCTCGCACAGCCCTAGTAACTGGCTATAGGGTCAGATCCAAAGCACTAGTTGATGGGAGCAAATCAACATGGCACAGGGACCAGTGGAGTCCCTCAGGGCTTGGTACTTGGGCCGGTACTCTTTAATGTCTTCATTAATGATCTGGATTCAGGAGTCAGATGCAAACTGGCAAAGTTTGCAGATGACACGAAATTATGGGGGAGGGTGGTCACACTGCAAGACAGGCTGGGGATACAGGCCAACTTGTCCAACAGTCCAGAGGAGAGCCACTCATATAATCCAAGGCCTGGAGGGCAGGCCATATGAGGAGAGGCTGAGGGATTTGGGACTCTTCAGTCTAGATAAGAGAAGGTTCAGGGGGGACTTGGTAGCAGCCTACAATTATATAAGAGGGGTACATCAGGACCTGAGAGAACAGCTGTTCACTAGAGCTCCCCAAGGGATAACAAGTTCTAACAGCCATAAACTCCAGGAAGGCCAATTTAGACTAGATATAAGAAAAAAGTTATTTACGGTGCGTGTGTCCAGGGTCTGGAACAAACTTCCCCCAGAAGTGGTGCAAACACCTACTCTGGACTCTTTCAAAAAACATCTGGATATTTTTCTTGCTGGGATCACTTGATCCCAGCTGACTTCCTGCCTATGGCAGGGGGGCTGGACTCAATGATCTCACAAGGTCCCTTCCAGCCCCTAATGGCTATGAAATCTTTGAAATCTATAAAATTAGAAACATTTGCTATCAGAGATTCATGCCAGCAGGTAGCTGAACTGAAATGAAGGGCAGCAGCCAAAGATGCCTTGTGGTGGGAGGGGGGGTAACTATTTTCTTTCTTTGTTGTTTGTATAGAATCATTGATTATATATTTTCCTTTGTTTCATATGCAGACACAGTGCTTGCAAGTGGGGCACCATTAAATGGCACCCAGGGAACATGTATATTTTATACACCCTCTGGATGGGTCTCAAGCTCACCTAGTTTATTAATTCTCAACTTACCTGTTGTTATCAATAGCACCTGGCACAAGAGTTCTGTGCATCAGAGGCCAATATCAGGTTGCATGAATGTTTGCAAATCTGGCATTTGCGAACATCTAAGTGCTTGGCTTTGTGATATTCAAACTGGTATTAAGAGAAGTGGTCTTACATAAAACATAGCCTGCAATGTGCAACTATAATGAGCTGTCCTCCTCAAGAATGAGATAGGTGGTGAATGCAAACAGGATGTGCCTGATGCCATCTGCATCATGCTGGCCTTGTGGCTGTACTCTCTCACTAGCTCCCTGTGGCTTCAGATTGATGGTGAGTGATCTGGGGGAAGGCATAAGCCATGTGGGACTTCTTGTACGTGCGGGATTAGTCACTCTGAGCAATCCTGTGCCCTGTGTTTGGTTTGATGGGAAGGGTCTGACTGATTTCAGAGCATTTCCTTCTCCCTACCTTTACATCCAATAGACATTCTGTGTTTCAGCAGCAGCCCAGAGCAAAGATATTTTCAGGGAGCACAGGTGAGTCTTTGTAAAAAGTGTTTACTGTATTATTTGCATACCACATGCACCTTCCCACCCCCCCAAAAAATCAGCTCTCCAAAGTTGAGTTTATGTCTTAAGTGGAAAAGTTGATTTTTCTTCACTGGAATAGAAGCATGGAGGAATAGAAGCAGGCAGACATAGCTGCAAGATGGCTGCCACGCTTCTCCCTCTGACAGCTTGTTGGGGCAGGGGGCAAAGTTCACCCTACAGGGTCAGATCTATAGTGTTAACCCTCTTACAGCCACAGCCACTGCAGCCAAGATTCCCTGCAGTTATTTGTCACTCAGCCATGAAGAAAAATCTTATTTCCCCTTCATTCTGCTTTCCATAAACAACCTGTGTGCCATTTTAGGGGGAGGGGGTGGGGTGAGATATGTAAGCAAATAAAGTAATTAAGTGGGCAACTGCAACACTAGTTAAAGTAACATCAGGGCTGGTCTAAATTGTGCTGGGTTGCAACAGCTCTAAAAAGAATGGTCAGACTTTACAAGCATGATGCATGGGGGCCAAACATGGGCCAGTTTTCAGACAAATTTCCATTTGGCCAATACAGAGGATACATGGAAGGAAGCATGCATTATACTGATCACATTTTTAATTTATCCTCCTTTTAGCCTTTGGAAATAGTGAAGGACAGGGAGAAGTTGCAGTCGTCTCTTGTGTTTTACAGTATCTTCCAGATATTAGCAACTCTGTACTAATGTGCTTCTGCCTGCCCAGAATACGAAATAGGAGCCCAATGAGCTTTCAATCTTCATAAAAAGTACTGCGAATCTTTCTTCTGGGACTGTGCCTTGGCATTGATTGCTAGGCACAATAAAAATTACATCCCGAATGCAGACTTGAATGTGTTGCAAAAAATCTTGTTATCATCACTCTTAAACATTTCATTTGAATGTTGCACTTTATTCCTTTTGCAAGTGAGATATAAACATGAACTCACTGTCTCAATTGTACTGAAATATTCATAGCTGGAGCTCCACGTTGCACCACTCAGCTAATTGCTAATTTTGCGGTGATGGATGTAAATGGCCCAGTTGGTAATTCATGCTTGGATGTTCCCTGTTCATCTCTTTCTTTTACTTAATGTGCAGACAGAAAAAAAAAAACTCCTCACTTTCAACATGCTGCAAAATAACTCAATGTATTTAATATTATGCCTCAAAAGTTACATTATATTTTCTGGGCTCACAAAGTATATTGAGTGCAAGCATGATAGTGTGATGAGATAAAAAGGGTTTTATTTGCATGCGTATGGCTACTTGATTCACCAGTGGCAAAATGATGAGGTAGAGGTCTTGCAGATTAGAGTCAATAAAACTGCTATGCTACACTGAAAACCTAACTTACCCCCACACCATCACCACCTGACTTCATTCCACATACGTTACAGGAAGCATATAATGTTTAAAAAAGTTTAATCTTATTCAGATTGTTTTTCATATCCCTCTATCTGCAACGCTGGGACTCAGTCATCATCAGTGGTCCATCTGCACAGAGCAATAAAGGAAAGGAAGATATAGCTAATAAGTTTTACAAGCATCTTAAAGTGGTGTTTTTATATGAAATCATATTTTATTTTCAAGGTGTGATCTCTCATGTTTTCCCAAGACTGCCATGTATTGTTTCCTTTGGGAAAGGAAGCTTCTTCATTCTCCAATGGGGGAGAAAAAAATCCCTCCTTTCTCTAATTCCTACAGCTCCTGTGGTAGTAGGCCATAAATCTAAGTGATTAGGCCTCCATATTACCCTGCTTTCACTGTGGTAAATGTTTCCCCAAGGTATCTCATAAGAAATGAGTTACTTTTCCATGGACAGAACAGAATGGAATATGCACCTCTTTTGGTGAGATGCTTCTATTTCAAACCATCACTTACCTCCTTGATAGAAGATGAGTACAATTGCATTATGTTGTACCCATAGTGCCCCAAGCATGCAGATCATGTTACTGCCTGATCCTTTTCTAGTTCAGAGAACTCCTTGGTAGCTCTCTGTAGAAGTGGAGAGGATTCAAAAGGGAGGGCCAGCTTAGACATTTAGCAGTGCACTGCCTGAATGAATTGCTAATATGTTGTTCATCTTTCATTCCGAGCCAACATATCTGACAGAGGACTGTTTCATTCAGAGTGCTAACTGACTGGCATTGAGTAACATGAGACCTGTACAGCACGACAATTAATTCTAACTGATTCATGCCAAAATGTACTCTTAAAAGTACAGTTCCTCATAGCCAAGATAGGAAACTTGCCCACCATTAGCAGTATGTTTGTCTTTTACTGAATAGCCAGCATTGATTTCTGTTCTTCTAAATTCAGTACAACTGTTGTTTGCTTTGTTACAACACAGAGGTGAAGCAAAACTGATGCAGACAGGATGTCCTTCCCAATGCTTTTTATTCACGTGCAGCAGAAAATTCTTAGGCCAGTCCTGAGATTACCTGAGCTCCTTTTGGATGATGCCAAGTGTTTTCAGTTCCCATTGTAATCAGTTCAATGAAAAATTAAGGACCCCACCAGCTGCCCAACTCCTTGCAATAGAGGCCATACATTTCCTAGCCAGTGACAAGGAGACAAAAACAAATCTCTCTGCTGAGAGGAGAGACCTCAGCTTATCTTGGCTCAGTAAATGAAATACTACCACCCCAAATGCCCCAGAAATAATCAGCTAGGATGTTTTCAGTAAGCCCAGCATTTTATCCTATGGCTTCCAGTTTGGTTCTCTGATGGTTCACTACTGTAAATGGGCATTGCCTTTATTTTATTTTTCCACTTTCCTCCTCTTTTGCAGCTTTCCTGCTGTCTCCACCAGATTTTGTCCATCTCCACTTGATCACAATGGTTGCCCATCTTGGGAAAGACTTCTGATACATGACATCTTCCTGGTACTGCATGCACCTGTTTTCCTGCTCATGCTCTCCATTTTGGACAGTGGCTCAGTTCATTTCTAGCTCACGAAGCAAGCCCAGAATCTCAAATGATGTGGTCTGCAGTTTTGCTGGATGGCATTTTAGCTATTTAAACAAAGTGAAGAAAGACTTTTAATTAACTTTCTTGGCATTATTTGAAGAGCTGTTATTGAATTACTTTGCAATACACTACTCCAAAATTATATCAACCGTATGTCTTTGTGTACTACTAATAAAGCTGGTTCTACCAATTTATCCTGGAATGCTCCAGTTAATTGGAAGTAAATCTGTCACATCAGCCTTATCCTCTCTAGCATACCAGATCTGCAGTCATTCCTCCATTGTGGAGCCAAACTAAGAACCTGATGATAACTGTCTGAGGAATATTTTCCTGAGGATACTTGTCTGAGGCCTGAGGAAAGGCATTGTGATACCTGAAATTTTGCTTCAACAATACAGTTAGTCCAATAAAAGATATCACCCACAAAAATTCTTGTCTCCCTAATGATAATTATGTCATTTAAATCATGTCTTCTGCCCTACAAATACACTTGAGTATAGTTATACCTGGAGAAACACATGAGCAATAGGGCTGTGCGAAGCTTCGACCCCTGATTCGATTCAGCGGAGATTCAGCCTGATTCGGTGGCCAAATCTCTGAATCTGAATCAAATCAGGAGAACCTTTAATCTTTCCAAATTGCATCGGAGCCCTCTGAATTGATTTGGAGAGATTTGGAAAGATTTAAATGTTTTTTCTACATACCTCAATGCTGCAATGGTGGGGCGGATGGAGCATCCCACAGGAGCACAATGGGGTCCCCTTCATGCTCGGCAGCAGGCCCTGAAGTGGACCAGAAGCACTTCTGGTCTGCTGGGGAGCTCACTGGGAGGCCCCCCATGGCCTCCCTGGCTCAGCGACTGGTGCCTCCTAGGTCTGCGCAGGCAGCCGGGGTTCCCCCATGGCTGATCATCAAAACACTTCCGGTCCACTTCTGGGTTCACCACCGAGCATTCAGGGGGCCCCCCCCGCGCTCCTGTGGAACGTTCCATCTGCCCCAGCATTGTAGCATTCATGAGCCACTTGGTACCTCAAGATATGTAGAAAAAACATTTAAAGCTGTGTCTATGGCTGAATAGCTGATTCTCCAAATCAGCACTGAATCTTCAGAATCGGATTTGGCCAAATCAAATCAGGGACAGTGATCCGAATCAACAAACTGAATCGCTGTCCTGATTCGGGCCGAATACAAATCTGAATACAGCCCATTTCACACATCCCTAATGAGCAATCATGTGTTTCCCAAAGATTGCCTTTTCTGACTGTTTTATGGGCCACTTTTTTGTTCTTTAAAATTGGCACAGGACATTACTTACTAGTTAGCCCCTGGCTGCCCCCCACACACAAAGAAACAAGTCACTGTCCTACAGAATATAAACAATCACATTACCTTACTACCTGGACATTGCTTCTTTTTTCTAGTTCTAGTCTAAACTATATTCCTCCAAGCTGGAGAGCCTGTGAACCTTCAATCCCTGGCAAGGAGCTGTGGTGTTTGGCATCTACATCTGCCTTTCTGGAACCAGTTACTGTGTATACCACCATCTTCTTTGTAGATCAGCTTTTTGTTTGTTGATTATCTACTTATTTCTGCTCTGCTCTGTAGCACTGTACTTCCAGTTGTTTGCCACCCCTCCCACCAAAATACACTTACAATATTTCTTCAGTTACAGTGGGCTAGATCCTGTGTTTAGTGCAGACTCTAAAATAAATGGTAGTGAAAGTCAATGGTCCATGGGGCAAGCTGAGAAGCACCATGCCAGCCAGGTCCCCTACTGCACCAGGCTTGGGGAGGTAACTTCTCATACCAATATAAAAGCTGTGGTGTGTTACCTACCCTGCAGCTCTACCTACTCCCTGCTCCTCCTTCACCCATTTGCTCTGGGAGGCAAATGCAATTCAGTAATAGGCCTACCACTCCTACAAGTAGAGTCCTTTCTGCCTCTGACACCCTGTCTCACCACACAAGGGCAAGCCACAGAACAGGTATGGGAATGACTGTCAGCTGTGCTGCTGACTAACAGAACTAAGCAAACAGGGACACAACTGATATAGTTGGGGATGGTCCTGCTTTGAGCAAGGGGTTGGACCAGATGACCTCCTGAGGTTCCTTCCAACCAGGGGCAATGTGTAGGGGGTGCACGCAGCTGCACATGCACCCTGTGAGTGTGGTGGTGCACCCCCTGTGAAAAGATGCCTCCGACACTGTTGGCAGCACCTGCAGGTGGTCACTGCTGGCCACCCCATGGCCAACACCGCCAGTGGCATCTGTGGATGGTCTGCAATCATTGCTGGCCACTGCTGATGCTGCCAGTGGTGCCTGCAGGTGGTTGCTGAACCCTGGTTGGTGCTCTCCACCCCCTCCCCTCCACCCCCGCCAACAGTGCCAGTGGCATCTGGGTGAGCTCCGTGCTTACCACCGCCATGCTCTCACCATCATTGCTGTGCTCCCACCACCACTGCCATGCTCCCGCCGCTGCCAGTGAGAGCACACATCGTTCATGCTTCCAACCTTAATTTTCTACAATTCTATGAATCTATGGTCTCAGTTCATGTTTGGACATATCCAGTTGTGAGGGGGAAAGGCCAAGGCAAGAGGAAAGCCCCAGGAAACTCAATCGAGGAATACTCACCCCAGGTGCAGTTGGAAGCTTGGTGGGAGTGGGAAGCATACTGCTATGTTACTGCAGCTTGTGCTCCCTGTGGATTGGTGGAAGGAAGGCACAGGAGGGTATTTCCAGCCCCAGAGAGAGGCAGTCAGAGGAGGACCACAGCCGGTGGACTGAGATGACACTGGAAGCCTTTCCTGCCAACAGTGGCCCATGGCCAGCAGCGGGAGAAGGAAGCAGATCCTCTAGTCAGAGTGGCTGGAGGACTACTAATAAGCTTCTGGATATGTTGAGCCAAGAATGACTCAAAGACAGCTGGGTGAGGATTAATATGGTGGAGTCATTGAGAAGTGGTCCATGAGTTTCCAGGGGCATGGCCCTATTGCTTCTTTTATGTTCTTTTTCTCTTCTGTTGTTTTGGGGGATCATGCTCCCCTTTCCTGGTGCTGAGTAAAGTGGCTAGAGGGAGAACACCCCACATGGAAGGTGCTCAGGGGTCCTGACCCTGAGGAGCCAAGTAAGGGGAAGAATCCAGTGGAATGGGTTTTGTTTTTTTCATTTTTGTTTGATGAGCAGAGCCATCCTTAAAGGAGCTGACTCAAATTGATTGACCCAGGAACCTGGGAGGCATTGACTTCATAGGTCTTTGATTGTTTATTTCATTATTTGACCAGGATCCCTAAATGGACTGAGCCAAGTTGATTAACCCAAGAACAGAAGATGTCTTAAGTTCATTTCTTTTTATTACTTACTTGATTATCTGATGGGGTCCTTAAGGGACAGGCCCAGACTGATTAACCCAGGAACCTGGGAGGAATTAATTAAGGTCATTGGCCTGGTGGACTTTAGATCGACTGATCTTAGTTGATGGACCTATGAACGAAAGTATGTTTGATTTAAAATGGCCTCAGGGGGCCCAAGTGAATGGATCTAAACTCCTAGGCATTTGTTTGGACCTCAGGTGCTTACCTGCCAGTGGCATTGGGGCGATACAAGATCTGGGCCCCAACATGTGTCATCTAGGAAGTTGTTAGTGTGGGGTGTAAGGCAAGGCAGAGCCCCACATAGAAAGCCCTCCAAGAGGACCCACCAGGATCCCCGCCAACCTACACATCCAGCTCCTAATAGTTAAAGAACATCAACACGTGGCAGGTGAGAAAAGAACATCGGAGATTGGTGGTGGTGGTACTCTCCAGTGTCCCAATGGCTTACTCTGGTAAGATGTCAGGCAGGCATGGGCCTTGGCCATACAGCACCTATCCCTGACACCTGTCAAGAAGTTAATAAAATACTGAAAGAAGTTATTAAAACACTATTCTATACTGTAATACTTTCACTATTAATTATCATGGTTAATTTGAAAAGCAATAGCAGAAATGCCATCTGGAACATTAATTCTACTAATGAAGTTAGTGAACAATTTTCTTGCACTCAGTTGTAGTAATTGGAATTACACTTCTGTGCCTACCATCCAAGGTTTGCTGCATTTATCTTCATGCCATTAATTTCAGAAAGGGTCATTTGAAAAAAAAAAGTACATTAAATTTCATGATATTATCTTTTGAACAATCAAGCTAATTGTCAATAGAGATAATTGACTTGTTCTGACATTTTAATAATCTCAGATTATTATGTTAACTTTGGAAAGGTGATATTTGCTAACTGTTACCAGAGCCTTCTAAAACTAGACAATAATCCCATGCCCATGAAAAAATTGCCAAGCATAAGCCTGACTTCAGGAAAGCACATAAACACACGCTTAACCCTGTGCCCATGTTTATGCCCTAATGGGATTAAGCACACGCTTAATAGTGATAGTGATATTATGGTCCTCTTGAAAAAGAAGAAAGAGGCATACAAACTATGGAAGCTTGGGACAGTCTGCAAGGAGGACTACACAACAATGGCCTGTACTTGTAGGGAACAGATTAGAAAGGCTAAGGCGGCAACTGGATTTAAACTAGCAATGGAAATCAAAGACAATAAGAAGTCCTTCTTTAGGTATGTAGGGAACAGGAGGAAAACAAATGGAAGCATGGGGCCACTGCTTTACAACTCAGGACAGCTGGTTACCAACACTCAGGAGAAAACTGAACTCTTGAATGACTTTGCTTCCTTATTTCACCGGACTAAGGGGAAAATCATACTAGATAAGGTTCAGAATGGGCATGGTGGGAATAAGCACCTTCCTACTGTTGACATTGAGCTGGTGCATGATCAGTTAGAAAAGTTAGACATTTATAAATCAGCAGGACCGAATGAATTCATCCCAGAGGGCTGAAGGAGCTGGCCGAAGATATTGTAGAGCCTCTGGTGAAACTCTTCCAAAACTCGTGGCACTTAGGGGAGATCCCTGAAGACTGGAAGAGAGGCAATATTGTGCCCATCTTCAATAAGGGGAGGAGAGAGGACCTGGGCAACTATAGGCCAATTAGC